GTATGGGACCACTTTGCATTTAGAGTGACCTACGATGACAGCGGAAAGAAAGTGGTGTATAAAAGTGCAACATTGTGCAACACGCGTTGTTTATGCTGACAGCAACATGACCAACATGTCAGGCTAACAATCAACATATACCGAACTGAACCGGAAACCGTGATCCGAACCGTGGATTTTGTGAACCGTTCCACCCCTAATTTATACTATTCTGCTTTAAATATGGAACCTGGATTAACGGTGATGAATTGGAGAGAGGATTGAAGGAAGGATGCGGGATTCCTGCTACACTTTCTCTTGATTGTGGTAGTGTGGTCATGCGTATCTGAATTGAAATAATAATTGACTACGTCACGTTAAAATGTGGTTGAGATCTTTGGGGTGGGTCTGGTGCCCCTCACACCTGCTATTGAACCTATCCTCCTGCTGAGGAACACTTGCAAACCTTATACAGAAAAACACACTCGCATGTAAAAGCCACATTACTGTAGTTTGGTTCCAGGTGTTCACCAAAACGCTGTCAAGCTTAATACTATGCATGTTTTGCTTTTGATGGGTTTTATCTATGTATTCTTGGGAGACTACCTCAATTGTTGTGGTTTGTGTTTGTTTTTTTTATCCAACATGGGTGTGAATCAGAGACCCGCCTGCCGTTCTCTTAGGTCGCTGGAGTCTGTTTGTCATGGGTTTTGTTATTGGCTGTTTGAATGATGAGGATGCTGTTTTTTGGTGTTATTTTTGCTTTTTTTTAAGTTTTTACGGCACTAATAGCTCGTTTTTTTAACTGTAGGCTGACAGAAAAGGGGGTAGTAGAGAGGGGGAGAGACATGCGGCAAAGGACCACAGGTTGGATTCGAACGCGTATCGGCCGTGTCGAGGACTAAGTTCTCCGTACATGCATACTCCGTCGTGCGTGCTAACTACTGCGCCACCTGCAGGCCCAATCAGGATGCATTTTCAAGTCTTAGTTGGAGAAGTTTGGAAGCTAAAACTGTAATTTTTCCTGAGTTCAGTGATGGCTTCTTGTAACAAAGATTTTAGTTTTAAAGATAACGTTCACGTTGCAAAATGCAGAATGAAACGATATCAGAAAAAAATGGAAAATGGAATATGAAAAGAACATTTAAAAAAAATTACAGAAGTTTGACTTGCATATGTGTTTTTTTTTGTTTGCATTTCTGGAAATTTCTAGTTGGATTGAAAAATTGGCCGACTTTGGTTATTTCAGATTCATATAAAGTTATTCATCATTTTAAATGTTTTCCTCCTGCTAAGGTGGACAACTCCTCCCTGACCGGCGAATCAGAACCACAGACTCGTACCCCAGACTTCTCCAACGAGAACCCATTGGAGACCAGGAACATTGCTTTCTTTTCCACCAACTGTGTTGAAGGTAGGCGTCTTCCATGAAACCCAGAAACTCTTTTCGTTTTGCCCTCCAATTAAAGATCGAATTCCGTTTGCAGGAACGGCTCGCGGTGTCGTGATCAGCACTGGGGATCGTACGGTCATGGGCCGGATTGCCACGCTGGCCTCTGGACTGGAGGTCGGGCGCACGCCAATCTCCATCGAGATCGAGCACTTCATCCACATCATCACTGGTGTGGCCGTCTTCCTGGGTGTGTCTTTCTTCATCCTCTCCCTCATCCTGGGGTACACCTGGCTGGAAGCCGTCATCTTCCTCATCGGTATCATCGTAGCCAACGTACCTGAGGGTCTCCTGGCCACAGTCACTGTGAGTCCAGGACTTCATCACTTCTTTGTCGGGTTTCAGAAGATTTGTTGGTTGTTATAAATCAATTCTTCTTCCAGGTGTGCCTGACTCTGACTGCCAAGCGTATGGCCAAGAAAAACTGCCTGGTGAAGAACCTGGAAGCTGTCGAGACTCTGGGTTCCACCTCCACCATCTGTTCAGATAAGACCGGCACCCTGACCCAGAACAGAATGACCGTGGCCCACATGTGGTTCGACAATCAGATCCATGAAGCCGACACCACAGAGAACCAGAGCGGCACCTCCTTCGACAGAAGCTCTGCCACCTGGGCGGCTCTGGCCAGAATCGCCGGACTCTGCAACCGGGCCGTCTTCCTAGCCGAGCAGAGCAACCTCCCCATCCTGAAGGTAGGTTTCTGCTCTCCTCTTTCAGTCAGATAGCAGTTGCTTCCATCCAAGATGGTGATAAGAGAACTTTACAGCAATTAAAATGTTTGTTTTCTGTTTGAAATAATTGAGAAAGTCAGTCATGTCTCCCCTCTTTTGTCTAAAAGAGAGATGTTGCTGGTGACGCTTCAGAGTCTGCCCTACTGAAGTGCATCGAGCTTTGCTGTGGATCAGTGGCGGGAATGAGAGAGAAATACCCCAAGATTGCTGAGATCCCTTTCAATTCAACCAATAAGTACCAGGTATGAAATCTGTCCTCTCTTCAACTTGAAACTCCACATCAAGAAGCTCTTTGAGGACCTTAAGGGGTCATTTTGCTAGTCACTATCTGAATTGAAGATGTAGATGTTGTCTTCATTTTCATCTCGTATCAAAGCTAAAAAGCAGGAATACAGAGTATAAGATGCTCATATTGCCCTCGGTTTCTCACCCTCTCTCCTTAAAAGCTCTCAATTCACAAGAACCCCGGAGCTGACGCAGAAACAAAGAACCTGCTGGTGATGAAAGGAGCGCCGGAGAGGATTCTGGACCGCTGTTCCACCATCATGATCCAGGGCAAAGAGCAGCCTCTAGATGACGAGATGAAAGATGCTTTCCAGAACGCTTACCTGGAACTGGGGGGTCTTGGAGAGAGAGTGCTTGGTTTCTGTCATTTCAACCTCCCTGATGAGCAGTTCCCAGAGGACTTTGCTTTTGACACAGAAGAAGTGAATTTCCCCGTTGAGAACCTGTGCTTTGTCGGCCTCATGTCTATGATCGATCCTCCTCGTGCTGCTGTGCCCGACGCCGTGGGTAAATGTAGGAGCGCAGGAATCAAGGTCTGTTAGATTTTCTGTATTTTTTTTAAGAAAAGTCATTTAACTTTATTATTATAACAACTTAAACCTGCCTTTTCTTAGGTTATAATGGTCACAGGTGATCATCCAATCACAGCCAAGGCCATTGCTAAAGGCGTGGGTATTATCTCTGAAGGCAACGAGACTGTGGAGGACATTGCTGCACGTTTGAATATTCCTATCAACGAGGTTAACCCAAGGTACAGAATCA